GGAAGAGAGGGTGATGTAAGAGAGCCAGTTTCAATATTTTAGAAAGATTAGTGGAAATCTAATTCAATTTTATTTTGATGCTTATTTGATGCAATTTTGTTTTAATGCTAATTTTATTTAGCATAGGCTAAATAAAACATCAACTTTCTTTGTTTTTAACAGGGATGTTATCTATTGCTGGTGAAGACGGTTATGTTGATTGGTAGTTTTTATTAATTGGAATTGGGAAAATTATTTATATGTGACATTAAGTAAACCCTTTCAAAATAGGGATTGGAGGACCGAGAACTAAGCATTTTGGTTCATTCTAATAGCTGAGTCATGGGATAGTAAATTTTTAGGAACTTCTTGTTATCCTTCTAAAGGATAACTTATCCTTTAGATTGGCACTTACTAGTACTGTTAATCTAAAGAAGTGTTACTCCTGCTATGGAGTAAAATTCAGCTATATCATTTCAAACTAATTCTAACAAGGATGTGTTCTGTGTCAGAAAAACTTACCTCTGGATTTTTGAAAATTAATGCCATAATTGAGGGGAAATAAAAATATATGACATTGTTGTGTTGTGAACCAATCTTGGAAGTATGATTGTGGCAGTTTTGTTGTGCTTGATTTGACCCTCAATATTAACTGTTTCTCAGCTGGAAGTATTAAAGAAATAATAGAAAAAAGTTTAAATAATCAAAAACATTGTGGTCCTTGACATTTCCTTTTCTAAAATATTCTGTGGATATCAATATGTAATTTTACTACTGTTAGGTCTGGAGCAGAGAGGGTGACACACGAAGTCTTATGTGTAGCAAAATGCTATTTTGAGCATCTGAGTGCAGATGGGTGGAGGTCAAAGAAGGAGGGGAAAGCCTTGAGTTTTATCTAGAGAGGTTTTTTTTTGGGGGGGGGAGTGAGTAACACCTGCAGAGACAGGGGAGGGGGGCATCTTTGTCTTTATCAGGGGGTATAGGAATGCCAGTGTGGCTGCAGCTGTCTGTAGTTGAAGTTAGATTTATAACCTTGGACGCTCCAGACTCCTGTGGCATTTGTTTCACAGGCTTTATGATATTTTTTGAGTTTCCACCTGGAAAAAAACCTAACAACTACCAGGCAGAAAAACCATAATAAAAATGGATTAAGAGTGGTATAATTGTCATGTTTGTTGTCTTATGATAACCAAAAATATGGGAATGGTTTGGAGGCCCTTGTTTGAATAGAATTTTGGCTGTTGGAGTGGAAAACTAATGAGCAATCTGTACTCGGAATTTTTCTGAGGGAAATTATACTTATTGATGTTGATTTTATTTAATTTTGACTTTATATTTTTATATAAGACATTGAATAAGGTTATTTAGGGAGCACAGATTTTCTCTTAGAAAAGTTTGAAACCCAAATATAATAAGTTAACTCCCTTCTTTCCTTTTCTTCTTTTTTTTTTATTTTTAAATTTCAGAATATTACAGGGGTACAAATGCTTTGCTTATATAAATTGCATTTACACTGCCTGAGTCAGAGCTACAACTGTGCCCATCCCATGCGAGCACTGCACCCATTAGGTGCTAGTTTACCCATACCTTCTTCCCCCCTCCCACTGGCCTGCCATCTTATGAATGTTACTTCCATTTGTGAAAATAAGTGTTGATCGATTAATATCAATTTAATGGTAAGTGCCTGTGCTGTTTGTTTTTACATTCTTGTGATATTTCACTTAGAAGAATGGGTTCCAGCTCGATCCAGGCTAATACGAGAGGTATTAGTTCACCGTTTTTTATGGCTGAATAGTACTCCATGGTATAGATATACTATATTTTATCAATCTACTTATGTATTGATGGGCACTTGGGTTGTCCCCACATCTTTGCAATTGTGAATTGTGCTGCTATGAACATTCGAGTGCAGATGTCTTTTTCAAGGAATGTCTTTTTTTCCTTTGGGTAAATAACCAGTAATAGAATTGCTGGATCAAATGGCAGTTGTAGCTTTAGTTCTTTTAGGTATCTTCATACTATTTTCCATAGAGGTTGTACTAGTTTCCAGCCCCACCAGCAGTGTATGAGTGTTCTTATCTCTCTACATCCACGCCAATATTTGTTGTTTTGGGACTTTTTGATAAAAGCTATTCTCACTGGGAGTTAAGTTATATCTCATTGTGGTTTTGATTTGCATTTCCCTGATGATTTGAGTTGTTGAACATTTTTTCATGTGGCAATTATTTTCTCCAATTCTGTAGGTTGTCTATTTGTTCTAATGATAGTTTTCCTTGGTTGTGCAGAAGCTTTTTAATTTGATCAGTTCTCATTTATTTATTCTTCTTGTTGGCGTGATTGCTTTTGGGGTCTTCTTCATAAATTCTTTGCCTATGCCTATGTCTTATATAAGAGTTTTTCCAACATTTTCTTCTAGAGTTATTATGGTTTTATGCCTTAGGGTTAAGTCTGTTATCCATTGTGAGTTGATTTTTGTGAGTGGTGAGAGGTGTAGATCCTGTTTCAGTCTTCTACATGTGGCTATCCAATTTTCCCAGCACTATTTATTGAATAGAGATTATTTTTCCCAGTGTGTGTTATTGTTTATTTTGTCAAAGATCTGATGGCAATATGAGGATGGTTTCATATCTGGGTTCTCAGTCCTGTCCCATTGGTCTATGTCTGTGTTCTTAAGCCATTATCATGCTGTTTTGGTTACTATAACCTTGTAGTGTAGCTTGAAGTCTGGTAAATTGATGCCTCCCAATTTGTTCTTTTTGATTAAGGCCACCTTGGCTATAAGGGGTCTTCTCTGGTTCCATACGAAGCATAGAATTATTTTTTCTAGATCTGCAAAAATTGGTATTTTAATAGGGATTGGATTGAATCTGTAATCATTTTGGGTAGTATAGACATTTTAATGATATTGATTCTATCAATCCATCAGCATGGTGAAGGAGACGTCTCTGAGTCAGATTGGCTGAGACCCAAAATCAGCAGAATGGGAGCACATTGCTTATTCCCAGAATTGGCAAGATGTGACTTGTTGACCAGCAGAGAGAACTGTTCCTCAGGGCAAATGGTCAAGGACCTGTGGTTTTGCATGAGAGCCAAGGTTGTCTGTTGTCCTGCACGCATAACCAGATGCTGAAGGATGGGGATGCAAGTGTCCCCTCCCCTTTCTCTTGAGCTATGTCTAGAGGAACAGCTCCTGCTGACATCTGGCAGTCACATCCTGGGAAAGTAGCTGCAGGATGCTTGCCAAATTGAACAGTATAAAAATAAAATGACTAGTGCTTTAAGTGCTGCAGTCTTGTACTGTCTTTTGTGTCTGTGTGTTTTTGTGTGTCTTTCTGTATTTATCCCCTCGTCCTGCAGTCGGGCCACGACAGCATGGTTTAGGTTTCCATCTGTTAATGTCCTCTGCTATTTCCTTCCTCAGTGTTTCGTAGTTCTCCTTTTAGAGGTCTTTCACTTCCTTAGTTAAATATATTCCTAGGTATTTTATTTTCTTTGTTGTTATTGTGAAAGGTATTGATTCTTTGATTTACTTCTCAGCTTGACTATTGTTGGCATATATGAATGCTATTAATTTGTGTACATTTATTTTATAACCTGAGACTTTGCTGAATGTATTTATCAATTCCAGTAGTCTCTTTGCAGAATCTTTGAGGTTTTCTATAATAGATATAAGATCATATCATCAGCAAAGAGTCATAGTCATAGTTGGACCTCTTCTGCTCCCACCCCCACCCCCCATTCGGATACCCTTGATTTCCTTCTCCTGTCTGGTTGCTCTGGCTAGGTCTTCCAGCACTATGTTGAATAGAAGTGGTGATAGAGGACAACCTTGCTGGTTCCAGTTCTAAGTGGAAATGTTTTCAATTTTTCCCTGTTCAGTATGATGTTGGCTGTGGGTTTGTTGTGTGTGGCTTTTATCATTTTGAGGTAAGTCCCGCTAGTGCCTATTTTGTCAAGCAAGCATTCTTATAAATGAGTGCTCAATTTCGTCAAATGCTTTTTCTGTGTTTGTTGAGAGGACCTACAAAGAACTTGTACCTATCCTGCAGAAATTATTCCACAACATTGAGAAGGAAGGAATCCTTTCTAACACATTTTATGAAGCCAACATCACCTTGATAACAAAGCTAGGAAAGGACTCAACTAAAAAAGAAAACTACAGACCAATAACCCTCATGAATATAGATGCAGAAATTCTCAACAAAATTTTAGCAAACCAAATTCAGCTGCTCATCAAAAAAATAATCCATCACAACCAAGTGGGTTTCATCCCAGAGATGCAGGAATGGTTCAACATACACAAATCTATAAATATAATTCACCACATAATTAGAAGTAAAAACAAAGTCTTTTTCCTCTTTTTTTGTGCATTACTTGTGTAGAGTAATGTAAACCAAAATGCTGATGCCATACATGTTATGGATTTGGCCCATAAGTTATTACAATATACTGGAATTTGTTTTAGCATTTCAAAGTCTTTTTAATGCTGTAAAGTGCAACTAAACATAAAGAAAAGTATATATTTGTAATTGCTTTAAAAATGTTTAAAAATGTAATCCCTGAATATGTAGTTGCTTGCTGATGTTCTTGTTATATCTGAGGGTAATGCCACTTTGGAAAAAAAGTTAAATGTAAAAAGGAATTTCTCTATTGTGCTGTAATTCTATAGTCAAACCTTTAAAAGTACATATTAAGAGTGAAAAAAACTTTAGGGTAGGGCTAGAGAAATGTATAATGAAATAAAAAATTCTGGGATTATTGGTAATGAAGTTTTAATGAACTTCACTCATAATTATTTTCCTGAAATAGACTTCATATGTCTTTTTATGCTCTAGAATAAATGAGCATCTCATGAAGGAAGCATTATGAACTTAATGGATAATTATAAAATTGCCCAGTAGGGCTTAGTTGTAATGTAAGTACCATTTCCCTATCAGACAGATTTATGATGTTTAAGTCATGCCAGATAGCATTAGGAAAATAGTTTTAAAAATTCACTAACAAATATGTTTTTTCTTTAGAATGAAGACCTAGTTTGCTTCAAAGATATCAAACCAGCAGCACCTCATCATTATCTTGTAGTGACAAAGAAGCATATTAAAAGCTGCAAAGAGCTAAAAAAAGATCAAGTAGAACTGGTTGAGAACATGGTAACTGTTGGAAAAGCCATTCTTGAAAGGAATAATTTCACTGACTTCACAGATGTGAGGATGGGTTTCCATTTGCCACCATTCTGTTCCATTTCCCACTTGCACCTCCATGTTCTGGCACCAGTCAGTCAACTTGCCTTCTTATCCAGATTGGTTTATAGAGTCAATTCTTATTGGTTTATTACAGTAAGTATTTAAAATATTAATCCTTTTTGTTGCAGTTTTTCTTTTCTTGGCAGTAGTAGGCACTTACAGCTCTTACAGGCTTGATCACCTGTTTTAACATACTGTTTGCACATACCCAAAATAATATTTTTAATTTGTGGGATTTTCTAGGTCATCAGACGTGTAGGAAGAGAAGCTATAAGTAAGTGTCTCCCATTGTAAGCAGGGGATATGATATAGAAGAACCATAGTATTCAGAGTTCAAACTATGGAGTTAGATCTGGATTCAAATTCTGGCTCCATTGCTTACTTGAAAGGAACATGTGAAAGTTACATTCCTTAAAAGAGTTGATGAGATAATTTATGTGTAAAGCAATTAAGGCATTATCTTGCAAATAGGAAGTACTCAATAAATGTTACCTGTTGCCTCTATTATCATATTCATAAACATCATTGTAGAAATTGAGTGTTTATATTTTTTGATAGTAAGTCTAAACACCTTAGCAAAGGGTTGCAGTAGTGACGTCAACTGCTAGATCTGAGGATGAAGCTTTGAGCCTAAAAAATTGCAGAATTCTGCTTTGCTGAAGCAAAAGTAGAATAGAATTCAGCTGTTTATATGCCTGTGGTCTGAAAGTTAAGCCATAGTTATTAAGTGACTCTGGCCCCTCTAGGGCCACTTGACCAGTAATTTATTAGGCTGTTACTTTATGTGTCCATGACACCTATAGGTAAGGTGACCTATAGTTGCTGTAGGTGAATAATCACTAGATAGTATTTATTTACCATTAGTAAATGAATTACATTACTCTCGTCATAGTACAGAACAATTGAAAAAGTATCTGATTTCTAGAAACTTCATATTTCAAACATATCATCCCTTTCTTCAACTTGTTCAGAGGATTTCATTTAAATAACATATATTATATGAATATGTGTGTATATATGTTTGTATGTATTTGAAATTTAAAAAGTGGGACATTCTGTAGGATAGCTGGTTTGGTTTCTTTAAAAAGTCAGTGTAATGGAAAAGGGATTTTAAATTTTTAAAGAAATTCAGAGTATTATGGGGATACAAATGTTTTGGTTACATGAATTGCTTTTGTACAGATTGAGTCAGAATTATAAGTGTGCCCATCACCCAGGTAGTGTGCACTGTACCCATTGGGTGTGAATTCACCCATTTCCCCCTCCTCCCTCCCACTTACTTGATTTCCATTGAATTTTCCTACTGTATGTGCACATGAGTGTTGATCTATTAGTTCCAATTTAGTAGTGAGTTCATGTGGTTTTTGTTTTTCCATTCTTGTGATATTTCACTTAAAAGGATGGTCTCAGTTCCATCCAGGTTGTTACAAAAGGCATTAGTTCACCAATTTTTTTATGGCTGAGTAATACTCCATGGTATACATATACTATATTTTATTAATTCATTAATATATCAATGGGCACTTGAGTGGTTTCCACATCTTTGCAACTGTGAATTGTGCTGCTATAAATACTAGAGTGCAAGTGTCTTTTTTTAAATAAAATGTCTTTTTTTTCCTTTGAGTAAATACCCAGTAGTGGGATTTCTATTTCAAATGGTAGGTCTACTTTCAGTTCTTTGAGGTATCTCCATACTACTTACCATAGAGATTGTACTAGTTTGCAGTGTCACCAACAGTGTGTAAGTGTTCCTTTCTCTCCATATCCACACCATCATCTGTTGTTTTGGGACTTTTTGAAAAAAGACATTCTCACTGGAGTTAAGTGATAATCTCATTGTGGCTTTGATTTGCATTTCCCTAATGATTAGAGACATTGAACATTTTTTCATATGCTTATTGGCTATTTTTAAATAAAAAAATTAATGAAAATATATTTTTGTAATGTTTTTAACTGTATTCATTATATGAAAGACTTTTTAATTAGAAAACATGAATGTTAAAATTATGAGATGTATTAATTGTTCAACCTGGGAATCAGAACTCTTAAAATCTGGGACTTCTTTAATATATATTATGAGACTGAAAAAAATCAAGAGAAAGATACTGAAGTTTATTCCAACTATTATATAATGTTTTATTTATTTTTTTTTTATGCCTAGTAAGATTGGCATAATGTTTTAGATTACATAGCATGATTGAGAAAAACTCTGAAATGATGTAACTTGAAGATTTTAGTTTACTTTAAAAAAAATAGACTTTCTTTTTTAGAGTGCATTTAGGTTCACAGCAAAATTGAGTGGAAAGTACAGTTTCTTTGTACCTCCTCCCACACATGCACAATTGCTGCACTATGACATCCTATATTACAGTAGTACATTTGTTGTAATGGATGAACCTACACTATAAATTGTTATCACCCAAGGTCCATAGTTTACCTTAGGATTCCCTCCTGGTTGTACGTTCTGTAGGTTTTGACAAATGTATAATGATGTGTATCCCCCATCAGGATAGTATCATACAGAATAGTCTCACAGCCCTAAAAATCTTTTGTGCTATGCCTCTTCATCCTTTCCTCTCTTCTAACTCCTGAAAAACACTGATCTTTTTCATGTCTCTGTAGTTTTTCCTTTTCCAGAATGTCTTATAGTTGGAATCATACAGTATGTAGCCTTTTCAGATTGGCTCCTTTCACTTAGTGACATGCATTTAAGGTTCTTCCATATCTACTTTCCTTTTTAAAACTTTAGTATTATATTTATTTTCCTTATCTTATTGAAACTTTTTAATGGATTTTCAATGTAGGTAACAATCAGCCTATTCATATATAATGTAGAATACCTTTACTATAATTTATTATACTGAGAGATTTTTGTAAGATATTTTTAGGAACAGAGTGTATAGTACCTAACTTTTGTGATGTGCCAGTAGAATTATTTGATAGAGATTATAATATCTAAAATTTAAAAGTATGTGTTTTTAAATTACAGGCTGACCATTTGATTGAAAAACTAAGGACATGAAAATGTCAACAGTGGAAGATTTCCCTAATCTTGGCACAATATTAAAATATTTTGGTCCCTTTGAAGTGTAATTGCAATTTTAAGGTTTGTTGGGTTTTATGGGAGGCTATTAGTGAGTAGCCTTAAATCTTGAACTAGAGCTGAAACATTAGATTAGTAGCAGGTTTAGTGAACTTAATGTTTCTAGTGGTAATGCAGATCCTTTCCTGTTTTACAGTTTAGAACATGGCGTAACTGTTGGAAAAGCCATTTCTAGAAGGAATAATTCACTGACTTCACGAATGTGAGGTATGAAGTATTTCAAGTAGAAAGAAAATATTATACATTATAAACTTTTTTGAAATGTTTTCATGGAAAATGGAAGGGGCAGTGTCAGAGTTTTGTGGTTAAATGCTTTCTGTAAAAGTGAGAATATAGTCATTATAAGTATAATTTAATAATTTCTTTCCTTCTCATTTCTTCAATAACTCAATAATCTCCACTTACAGTTTGAAACAAGTACTAAACATACGCATAGGTTAGGAAAATAGTAACAAGTTATATCTTCTTTGTTCAATATGAGCATCCTATAAATTATAAGTTGATTTTCTCAGAAAACTTTTGTGTGTTTAAAAATACATTATTATACTCTAGCCATGAAATTAACTTGAATTTATCTTACTGAACTTCTGGCATACACCAATTGTTTGAGCCAAAGCACCATGATGTTTCAATTTCAATTTTTAATTCAATCTATAAGTAATGGTGTTTTCTTTTTTAAAATATTTGTAAAACTTTTGTTCTGTGACCCAGTCAGTTCCAAGGGCAGATATATATTAGAGATTACTTCTACACTTTTGAGCTGGAATTGTTCAGAATAGAACTGAATTTAATGGCTGTCCTGTCCATTATTTTTGTGTACTTTACTTACACTGGCTGTTAAAGTAAAGATAAGTCACTCACAAAGTCATTTTAACCTCTCCAAAGTAATAACCTGCTCTGCCTGGCTTATAGGCCTTAAATGAGATATGTGTGTTGAATCTCTTGAAAAAACTGTTAAGCATATCAATTAATGGGATGACAAGGAAAACTGATGGGGTGTTTGAGACCCTTGGCCCCAAGCAGCACATTTCTTTCTAGTGATAGGATGCTCCTTAAAAGAATGGACTGTTGGAAAAAGGAGTAAAGAGCCGGAGTTCTCAATCACAAACTGCTACCACTGATAACTCTGGTGACCTTGGGATATCTTAAAACTTTTTGTATCGGTGCTTCCCATCTTTAAAAATGAAAGGTGGGTGAAGCATGAGTACTTATAGCTCTAATTACTTGATTCTCGCATTTATATGGCTGTTTCAACATATATTCTTTAGTTTCCTTTCTAGTAGTGGTGAAGCTTTTCAGTATGTACAGCATATCTGACGTCCATACTGTTAGTCCCTATCTGATGCAATATAGCATTCTCCTTCTTTTTCCATGCTCCATCATTTTAGTTACAGGGAATTTCTAGCTTTGATTTTGGTTACAGGTGTGGCCTTGCTCCATCGGCATACTGGGATTACAAAAACTGTGTAAACTGATTTACAGTCTACTCTGGCCCTGGGTTAAGAGTTTCCCGTGGCGTTCCAGCCTAGCTCACAGCAACCTTAACTCCTGGCTCAAGCAATCTTTTGCTTCAAGCTCCCAAATTTATCTTATGCCTGTGTTGTTATTGTTTTTTATTATTTTACTTACTGTAATTATACTATATAATTTATATATAATATATATATATGATATATAATTTTTTTTCTAAGCCAATTAATTTCTTAGTAGAGACAAGGTCTCGCTCTTGGTTCAGGCTGGCTTCCAAAACTCCTGACCTTGAAGCCATCCTCCCGCTCAGCCTCCCAGAGTGCTAGAATATAGGCATGAGCCACCAGCACCCAGGCGTATAAACTATTTTAAGAACGTTAATCATATTTTTAAACTTTTTTTTTTACTATTTAAAGAAATTCTCTTAGATTTGTATAAAGTATCATGATAATTATTAAATTTCAGTATTAAGCAAGAAAACTTAAATGATTGATAAAGTTTGTTTTGTGATGACATAATTAATCTCACTTACTGAAATGTTGATTGGTAAAGAAATGCCTGAGCACATTTTCTTATAGGAAAAGCATGCCATTATTTTTGTATTTGTCTTTCGATTTTTTTATTATTTTTATTGTTATTTTTAATTATTATCACTTGAGCATCCAGTGTTTTTATATTTTGCAGGAGCATTTTTTAGTGATTATTTTATTTTTATTTATTATATTATTATATCTGATAATGTTTTATTTTTTTATGTTCTCACTCAATATTCATTTTATATTATTTTATCTGAGTCTATAATATAACATGTCTCAATTTTATGTGTTAATTTAGTATTTATCTTGTGAATTATTTTCTTATCATGATATTATAAAAATGAAATATGTGTTGAAACTCTGGATACATAAAAGAATAACTGTAAAGATTGTGAGTAATAATTCGCTAATGTTCTGTTTTTGATAAATCTTAATATTTCTGTATTTTCTTCTGAAAGTGGCTTTAAACTGTTGTAAAATTGATTTCAATCTTTCTTACCTTTCTGTTGTAGGATGGGTGTTCCATTTGCCAATTCTGTTCCATTTCCACTTGCACCTCCATGTTCTGGCACCACGTCAGTCAACTTGCTTCTTATCAGATTGGTTTATAGAAGTCAATTCTTATTGGTTTATTACGTAAGTTTTAAAATATTATCCTTTTTGTTGCAGTTTTTCTTTCTTTGGCATAGAGGCACTTACAGCTCTTACAGGCTTGATCACCTGTTTTAACATACTGTTTGCACCATACCCAAAATAATTATTTTTAGAGTTGTGGGATTTTCTAGGTCATCAACGTGTAGGAAGAGGAAGCTATAAGAAAGTGTCTCATTGTAAGCAGGGGATGATGATATAGAACGAACCTAGTATTCAGAGTTCAGACTATGGAGTAGATCTGGATCAAATTCTGGCTCCATTGCTTGCTTGAAAGGAACATGTGAAATAATTCCTTAAAAAGAGTTGATGAGATAATTTAAGTGGTAAAAATAAGACTTCAATAGGAAGTAACTTATTAAATGCTTACCTGTTGCCT